TAACCTCATATCGCTCCGCTTGGTCGGGTAAAAAGATAAACACGTGGTAAGTGTATACATAAAAATATTAATATGAAAAGTACAGTCCAGTAATGGAAATATCTATATTTTTCAATGATAACCATAAAAGATATTTGTTTAGCTTAAGAAACAGCTACATAATTTATCACGAGTATTGATTATATTTAAAACTTTCGAAATATATTCAGCAAAGTTTAATTTCAGGTAGTATATTCTATTTTTGAAAATAAAGTTTCGAACAAATTTATTTGATAAATGACTAAAATATGAAAACTAGATGACTAAGATGGCGGTTGGTTGCTACAACAGAGAAGTTCAGGGGTTCTGGCATTGACCTACCTGCAAACAGCTCAACATGAAATCGATACCATCGTACATATATTAACATTTTTATTTCCATAGCTGTGAATGGGCCGTTTCTTCGAAAATAGCCTCAAGTGTTCCAGGAAAATACATTCAATACGAATTTGATTATATACGGTTGAATAAATATGTACATAAACAATACTGGAAGAGGTCAGAATAACTTTACTCTGAATATGACTCATTACATTCATTTAATGAACTAATCCCACCTTGATATGCAAACGGTATTAGAATTTACTGGCTGATTTAGAAGATAAAGTCTCCCCATTATTTAAGAAGTTTAAAAAATGTAAAATTTCTGAAGTCTTAAGCTATTCTGTACTGGATCTTTGAAAGCTTCTGCAGATGATATCGATATCGTTTTTTGAAAAAGAGTAAACAAACAAAAAAAAAAAAGCTGAGGAATGTGGTTTAGACCATAGCATAGAAGTTAAAACATCAACAAGACGAGATTAATAATATGAAATATAATATATAAATAATAGCTCATTATAAAGAGGATGAAATGCTGAACAATTCCCTCCCTTACAGTGTGCAGGTCCGATTTTTAGTTTCTGACATATTTTAATCCATATCTTCAATAAAGCTCGTTATCATTTGGTTTTCGGCACTATTTTTTTTCTTTTCGCCTCCCTAACAGAGTGTTGCGTTAAGATACAATTATGAATAATAGCCCAATACAGAGAGGATGGAATGCTAAACAGTTTCCTCGCTTATAGTATGCAGGTCAGATTTTTAGTTTTTGATATATTTCAATCCATATGCAAAAACACTTCAATTAGCCGACTACAGCCCACTTTACCCGAGCGTTGCACATTGGAGATCTGACGGCTAAATTTAATTCACACTCCACAAAAAAAGTGAAAAACGCGCCTAAAAAGGTTTTCACTTCAAAAAATGGTTTCAATTTATTATGGGCTCTTGAAAACACCATCATCGATAATCATAAAGGAATCAGAAAAAGGCTCATGAAAGAAATTGACCACTAATCTTCTATATCTCTGGCTGTAAAATGAACGACAGTCACCACAATAGTTAGATTAATAAAAAATAAAAATAAAAGCAAGCGAAAAAATTTAATTGTATATAAAACCAAAACTGAAATTAAGTAAAACATTTTTTCTTTTCTTCAATTGTAATAATATTTCAATATTGCTCATTTCATTTCATTATTGGTACAACAGATTTCCTTTGCCCAATCATCAAAAACAAATTTTCTAATTCCCTTTGTTCATTAAATTTTTGTCACGTAAATAGTGATCCAGATGTGTAAAAAAATGATAATCCATAGGAGGGAGGTCCGGAGAGTAGGGCGGATGTGGTAGAGTTTCATATCCAAGCTCCAACAGTTTTTATGACGTCACACGTAAGACATGTGGCCGGGCGACACGGCGGATCTACGGGGGAGGGAGGAGACTTTGGGGCTAAAGCTTCCCCCCAAAATGGTAAAATATAACCATGGTTTATGGAATAAAATAAATAAATCTCTTAAAGTATTATAGTTCATGTAATTACATTTAAAATGAATTTAGGAATCACTTAAACACCATTTCATATAGGTCGTTAATTTCTTTCTTTGTTTCCAAAGTAATTTTCGTTATTATTATGAAAAAAAAAAGCTTTCGGGCTGAAGCCTCCTCCAAAATTAAATTCTGGATCCGGCGTTGTCGTGCAACAAAATGGAGCTCTTCCAATTGACCAAAGAAGGCTTCGTTATTGCCAATTTCTGATGTATTGCATACATTTGGTTACAATACGTGGATATTGAACACCAATGTGTGTGGCACCCAACTTTCAAGGTTTTTTACATTTCCAGTCGTCTTGAGGTGGTCATCGACGGTTCTCGAACAGTTGTTCTGAGGCTTTCTTCCACCAAAGCCCGCAGAACATCGTCATCCAGAGAGCAAGTCCTTTCACGACCTTCTTTGTCTTCAAGGCTGATGTCTCACTCCCGAATTTTTTTTATTCACCGTTGTGCAGTGCAAACATTAATGCTGCTCTCGCCCCTGACTTGATGTTTCTGGTCGTTCTTGACATCAACAACTGAATTTCTTTTATCCTTCATTGCAGGACATCAAGTGGTAAACTGCCTTCTCCTCTTCATGATATAAGTCACATATTTATTTATTGATAATATGACTATATTTATTTGGCTTGGCGAGCTTGATAGAAAGACATCTCGAGCAGATCAATTGGATACATCTAACTACAGACTATTAAAACAGGGCGTTGATGCTTAAGCGGAAGTCCGGGATTCCGGTTTTTCCTGCTGGGTTCTGAACCGGGATCTCTAGACAAATTACTCAAGAATTCATAACTTTGGTTCTACTCAATATTTTGTTTTTACTCAAAGCCTATTTTAAGTCAAACAAACCTAAATATAGTGTAAAAAAATTCAAAAGTCTACCAAGACATTGCTGAGTTTATCGCTGGCACAATAACATTGGAAATTGAATCACCTACATCCGTGTAAAGTTAGAACTTGATCTGAATATTGTCGCAGGCGGGATGAAATTTTTGAGAGGTTTTTGTTTCCGATTTCTGGCTAATCCGTTTGGTTAATCCTAAAAATGTATACGACAATATTCGTTAGACTTGGGAAGTTAAATCGAATGACACTTTGAACGGGAAGATCGGATGCCAGATGTTCTTACTCTTGAATATAAATCATACATTTGAATATGGCATCATGAAATATGGCAGTAAATTGTAAATTAAAGCTACAAAGATACCACTTTAAAAAATTACCCTTATTTCAAGCTAGAAGAATCATAACAGAAACTCCCAGGACAACTACCATACCTGTTCTAGAGCAACAGCCAAAAGAGGAACTCTTATGGGCTAGAAGAAAGCAGTTGGAAATTAACATGTATGAACATCTACAGTGCTTGGATATTGAATAAACAAACTGCTGCTATAGATCAACTAAAAACTCAGATTTTGTTCATCACTGTGACAGAGTACATCATAAAGAGAAATGCTCTGGAATATTATTACACTAACCAGAAGCCTATTCTTCTCATAGGACAACCTAATTCAGTAATATGCCGTCCTATTCATACATAGGTCTTACAAGTTGTCGAATAAAATGAATACACTATCTAAAATCCTTAAATCTCTAACTTTAGAACTATTTCCAAAAAGTAACCAAAAGATTCATACCTCCTTATTTTTATTGATAGGAATAATAAACAATGAAGGTACATGAATATATTTCAGACAGGTTGTTAATGGCTTAGATTGCAAGGAAGATTGCAAATAATTACGATACTGCAATGAAAGCAATCAGACTAGCTCTGGCAAAACTAACTTCCTACGAAGAGAAAGAAAACATAAACCATTTTAGATTAATTGACTGTACTACTCTCAAACAAAAAACAGAGGAGATGATATTGAGTTTTAATGGATACTAAGGCATTGTGAACCATATAGGAATGAAGAGGCAAGCATGATATCATATATTGGTCAGGCAATGAGATGACATGCCATAGGCAGCAAATCCACTGGACTATGGGTCTACTAAACAAATAGTAAGACGCAATATTAGGAAAACAATCAAAATTATCGGAATAAATACAACCTCAGCCTGTTTGTATACCTTAAAATTCTTAATGATTGTTTTTAATCAAGTTAATTAATAACATTATTTTGAGTTAATTATGCTTGACCACACATTTTGTGTGTCAATATTTTTTTATATACCAGGAAAAATATAATCTGGAAAATAAATTTCTTTGGTGAATAATTTATACCAGTGAAATAATTGTAATTTCATATTTATCTTTATTTAATCTTTACCCCACTTAATACCCAAGTAGGGCAATGGATAGGTGAATTCCATTTGATTAGGCAATGTTTAGAACAGCAAAATTAATTTTTTAAGAATTGATTCTTAACATGAATTGTCATTTTACTTTTTGATTCAATTAAAATAAACACAAATATAGAAGTATCTTAGCCATGAAATATTTTAAATATCCATAATTATAAAACATTATTGAGCCATTGTTTCAAATTACTGGCAAAAAAGGAAAAAAAAAACAACACAAAAGTTTTTTGAAAGATAATTAAAGAAACTTGTACTTTAAAATGAAATGTCCATTTTTTTTTTTTTTTTTTTTTTTTTTTGTTAAATGCCATTTATAAGTTCACATTTTGGAATACTGTAGAACAAACAATATTTTTGAAATTCTATTTTGATGATATTTAAATCCATTTTACCATATCAATTAATAACTTATTATTAATTTATTTTTTAAACAAATAATAAGAGTTTAAAGAAGTTGACTTAAAATTTATAATTGCTTTAAACACTAAGCATTCTTTCTTATAATTTGATCATCTTAAAAATGCTCAAAAAAATAATTTAAGACTTTACTTTTACTTATTTTTATTATATTGATAAAGTTATAGATTAAATAATTTGAAAGACAATCAAAACTTATTTTTAATTATTTCACCTCAGATTTTGTGAATGCAACAGGTATTGCTTTATTTAACAGATTAACTCATACCAAAAAATAAATTACATTTTGAATAGTGTTAACAAACATAATCAAACATTTTTTTTTATATAATCATGATTAAATATTATAATATAGAAATCAACTCACCTTGCATTTTAAGTTGAGTTCCCTGCTGTTCATGGGACGACATCTCACTATAACTTTCACACACTCAGCCATAACTCATATCTACCCTCACCTGTTTGTAATAATACGAAAGGAAAATATATCTGAAAGATGAAAAAAAAAATCATAAATTTATTAATTAACAATTATCTAATTACTATTTAAAATATTATGTTATTTTAATTTCTCGAGGAAGAATTAGGCATCCAAGGACAGGAAAGTATTTTTTTTATGATGAATACATTTTATATATATATATTATTTTTTTCGGTTGCATTCTGAATACTTTGTCATTGATTTGAAATGGTATTATTTTAATCAATAGTATTACAATTTAAAACATATTATTGAACTTTCTGGGGGAAGCATAAGTCAAAATGTTGACATATTGTGAAAGCATGGCATAGATATCGGTTGATCAATTCTCATGCTAAGTACTCTTCAGTGAAAGCATCAAAGTATCCAAGCAACAAGCACCAAAACAAAGAACTGACCTTCATCTAATTGTCATAACCCTGGCCTGGGTTTTTTTCCTAACAAAGTAACCGTTTTTAATTATGGTAGCTGATGGCTGTTACTACTTATAGCTTGTATAATTAATTTAGTCGTGTATAAACAAATGTTAAGAAATCAAACTAAATGTTATAACCAATACCATATAATATAATGTTGGAAAGCTCAGAAATGAATTTAATTTATTTTCACAACTTTAATTATTCTACCTTTTCATAAACTATGAAACAAAATATAGCAGCGGATAAAAAAAAAAAAAAAAAAAGAATATTAATTAATTATTTACACTACTCATTTAAATCCAAAGAAATGAGAAAATAAATCATAAGGAATGAACAATCAGTAATTTTTTTGGCTTTATTTATAATGGTTTAATAGATGTAATTATTAATTTTTAAATAATGTATCAAATTTTAAAATAACTATTCATTCAATTCAGGTAATTTTGTATTACCAAAATGACTCTTTTATAAATTAAATATCTGACATTGATAAAGACATAAAGATTCTTTAACCCTTCACTAAGGTCACCGGATGTCACAAGCGAATTTTTCATGAGCATTGATGGAACTTTCATCAGATTTTTATGAGGTTACAGAACTTGACAGAGGTCAACTTCGTGTTTTTTTTCTAAAAAACAGACTGCATAAAATACATATTGTGTTTTAACATTGACTTGAATAGAACAATAATTTAAATATTTCCATATTAATATTATTTTTAAGCACTATTAATGATTATTTATAATTAAAAAAATTTACAATTAAAAAAATATAATATAATACAATAAAAAAATCATATTTGTAGTATATTTACTAATTTTTACAGACTTTAAAATATCATATAAATATAAAGAAACTGAATTAATATTCTTGATCTTAAAAATATATCGAGATTTCAGTTCTAAAATTAAGTGATGATAATAATAAAAATAGAAGGTAGAATTTATATAATACCATATTCATAAAAATAATGATAAGTATAGTATAGTTTCTATAAACATTTGTTAAATTAATTCAAATTTTTTTTTCTAGAAATTTATAAATTAACAATTTAATTAATGTCAGACAAATGTAAAAAGTGATTAAGTTACAAAATGGTGAGAATTAAAAAAAAAATTAAAACTTTAAAATATTTTTATTCTATAATCATAATTTATTTTAAGGTCTTATTAGATATAGATTCCATGCAAAAATGTTTGTTTCTACATTAATTCAATTTCGATCGTAGGCTTAATTCTTTAATATCAAACATTTTAATAATTTAATTCTATTTTTAAAAAATCATGATTTTTATTTTTAATTGAATGAGATGTGACGATAAGATTAGATGAATATTTATTATGATATTATTATATAAAAAAAAAATTAACGTTGTATTTATATCATTGCTAAAGGACATAAAAATAAATAAACATAAAGTTAGATATCAGGCAAACTAACTTACTTCCACTTGCCAAAATAATTTCATCAAACATAAGATACATCAATAAATATTGCTTGTTTTGCAATTTTAAATTTAAAAAATCTTAGAAATAACATGAGTCAGTAATTGACCATATTGCCAGCAAAGTCCACTTCATACTGAAGTCCTCCCTGGACTCAAGAGCCATTTCCCCCACCTCCCTCAAGCCACCCTTAAATTGACACACATTTCTTTGACATAAGAATAGCCCGCCCTGCCATTCATGAAACACAACAGCATAAATGGAATGATGTGACACATTTATTCCTCATTGAATATCAAGTATGGAAAACTTTGGTACAGTGGCGGAATTCAAATAAAATTAAAATGAGATATGGAAATTATTTACAAAGATATTTATATTTAAATTACTGTTACGAAATGCAAAAAATTATAACATTAATGTATTTTTTTAGTTTTATTTTCTTAGCCAATGAAAGATATGACTCCAACCAATCATAATTCCATCTAAAAAATAAATTCCATTTTAGACTTATACTAGAAATAAAATATTATTTAATTCTTCTTCTAAAAATACAAACCTTAAAAAATATTGTAGAAATTGTTTCTGGAATGCAGTCAATAATAGGAAAAATCATGTGCTCATATTTCATCCTATCTTGTTGGTATTTATTCGAACCAAACAATACAGAATAGCAACATTATAAAATATATAAGTAATTTATGTATAAGTGTTATATATGACAATAATACATGATTTAATATTTTATAATTCTGAGTTGTATACCACAAGGCCAAATCAAACAAGCATATTTTATTAAAGGATTCTGATATGTACAATATGATAAAATACATGAAAATATATAAATACAAATAAAGAAATGAAATATAAAGTCAGTATGCTGAATAGGAAAAAAATATATTCCAAAATAAGATAGTTATGAACAATAATATAAGATGATTGGGAAATCATTTGAGGCTTGTAGTCAGTGAGAAAACACATACAAATTATTAGCAAATATTTCATTTTAGTGCATATTTTTATTTTTGTTGTCTCACCTTCTGCAATCCTCAACTAACTTCCCAACCCTAACTATCTATCTTCAGCCGACTATTTCTTCATCATTAATATAAAACAATAACCAATAGTAGAATATGTATTGTTATTAGGACAAGTCAAATAAGTATATGGGTGATTTTGGAAGTAGGTGCAACTATGGCTATTCAAATCTTAGAAAATTTTGTTATATGTGTATATCATTTGTGACTGCGTTTTTGTGTAAATTTGTCATGATGTTAGATATTTTATTATATGATATACCGACTGGTGGATAACAAGGAGGGCAGGGGTTCGGGTTTAAAATTATTTTTCATGGGTCCATAATTGTTTCTGTGAGTGATATGAGATAAATACCTTATAGATAACAATATATTCTCTTTTTAATTTATAACACATATACAAATCAAGAAAAAAAATATGAATGTGCATACACAAAAACAATATTATTTCTGTAATTATCCTTCTTGTTTTCTTTCCAAACATAACTTCAAGAACCACTTAAGCATTATTTCATATAATTTATTCTTTTTGTTCCATTTTTCCAAAAGAAAAGAAAATAAAAAAGCTGCTCTTTTTAAACACTAAACCCGCTACTGGATATACTCAATGATATTCTATATTTCAATTGCTCAATAACCTCAATTTAAAATTAGTCTAAAAAGGTAATTTGTTTAGTATTTGTTTCAAATTTTAGTAAGATTTTCAGCAGAATGATTTATCTTAATTTTGACAGTTTAAAATTGGTTCTTAAATCTCATAACTGTTTGGGTTTTAAAATTATCGGGTAAGATAAAACCTATTATCCTCTCCCGAATCTTCTCTTTCCTTATTCCAAATTGTCTGGAAATGCAATAAAATAAAAAAAATAAAAATATATAAAGAATAAAATGAAATAAATAAGATAAAAATAAAACCAATATTCTCAACAGAGCTCAAACCTATTCAATTTGTTTTAATAATAATTTTCAGGGGATAATTCGGTAAAAACATCATAAAACACTACAATATTGGCAATTTTAAAATAAGGATATTTCTTCAATGGAGAATATAGATTTTCAAAAAAAGTAATATTTATGCTTGAACCTTTAGTTCCATATTTAGTAATTATTATGAATTTATATATTTAAACATTTATTAAGTCAGTTTTTATTTAAATCTTTCTAACCTTCAAAATGTGTATCCAATATGTTAATTTTAATTATTAAATTCATTTTTATTCAGATTTTTTAAAATTTAAAACGTAATTAAAGAAGAAAAAAACCCTCCCCCCCCAATATTAAACACTAAACCCACTACTGGATATACTCAATGATATTTTAGGATAGGAAATGGGATTTAAGGGTTTAGAGGTTTTAGGGGTCTATTAATTGCCGGATTATTATGTCCGTAATGATATTTAAATTTTTCAACTACCTAAAATTTAAAAATAGAATAAAAGGTCTAACTAAAATTATTTTACTTAATCTTTCTAATTTTTAAAATAAAGCCCCCATAATGTTGCCCAAGTTTTCATACATTACACATTTACAGTTTGCCGAATAATGTTGAATTTAATTATTAGATTCATTTTTATTCAGATTTTTTAAAAATTTAGAACATAATATAGTAATAATAACAAACACGCATAAAGCTATCGAATTATTTTTTTTTCTTCATTGGATGCAGAATATGAAAAGACATAAATAATGACCACTATCAGAGCTTTGAAGTCGTGTGTCTAAGTTGGACGAAGTTTTGTTCCGAAAATAAGGTGTTTTGCACCACTTCACGGCGCACACTAGTCAGAGAGACAAAAACCCCTATTTTCAAGGTGCTATGATAATTCAAATTTCTATGTTTTAATGTCTGGCATAGTTAGCTCGTATATTCCTAAAGATAAGGCACAAATAAAAACACCAGTTTCCAAGATATTCAATAAAATATAAGTAAAAAGCCAGTATCTGCCACATTAATCATGCAACTTGTTATAAATCATTAAACATATTTTAGCCGTTTTTGCTGAATTATGAAAATAATTTTTTGTTGCGTAATCTGTTTAAACGTGTCAAATAAGTTATTTCTTAATAAATTCAAAAAATTCATATTTTCATAGAATAATTAATCACTCAACGGATCCTGAAATTGAGTTTTCCATCGGAAAGTACCTCGTGTAACGACCGCCAAGACCTTACTGTAATCAAAATATTTTTTGAACCCTCTGCTAATAATGAATCCAAAAATCAGCTGCGGTAATTTGAGGTTTTTTTGTTTATGTGGTAAATTCAGTCAAGAAACTTATACCAAAAACAAGCAAGAAAAAATTCCTACCTGTATCTAAATAAATTTATGCTTAATATAATTTATTCCTTCCCGTCATAGAAAACTAGAGGAAAACTATAGAAACAAAAAACGAAAAGAAAATGTGAAGGAAATTGAAGAGAAATTCAAACAATTTCGTGACTCATAATTGATACTGGGATATTGTTTTCAGCTCACCCTGTATTTGGTTTTATCTTTGGTTATACCTTCTTTTATCGATATGTTCTCTTGATAGGTAACAGATATTTATAATTGATCCGGTCAGTAACGTTTCACTATAAATTATCATTTTTACAACATATTTCATGCAAAATGTATTTCATTTATTATTGTAAAAAAAATAATAATAAAGGTTAGTCTTACCAAAATGGTTTTATTGTATATTAATTCAGAATGGCCAAGATGCTATAATATATTCCGTGTTTCAAATATCTTGCCTAAATTTAAAGTTTCCCAGAGTTTTTGCCGTTTCTATCCCTTTTCCGACCACTGTGCGGCGGTTCTGTTTCAATTCTAAGGTGAAATCCATTAATGCAACTAATTACTAATTAATTTTGATTTTTTTAAATTATTATTTTGGTTATTATTATTTATTTTTTGTTAAAATAATTTTCTTTTATGTACTAACATTTACTCTCATAATTTGATATGGACAGATATTGATGTCAGCAAAGGAAGTAAATCTTATTAATATCAAACTGGCTTTAGAGGTTAATAGAGCGAAAATACGGAGATTTGTTCTGAATTGCTAAGTGCTGTTTCAACACGCCAAGGCCTAACGTGTTCCATTTTAATATAATCCCAAGATATCTTGAAGGTTTTAAACTGTTAAATTAGTCCATGATTTCCTTATATTCATAAGCGAAAAGTTACATTTATTTAATTATATTTCAACAATGGATGGAGGTAAGATTATCAGCTAATTTAGTTAGTTGTAAAACTCTTCCATCCGGTAGAGATGATAAGAAGGCAAGGAGATTGAGATGTGTTCAGCTCGGAGCAATTCATCGGGAAGGGAAAAAGCAGATAGATAGATCGAATTGACTAAGATGCAATAGAGCTGCATGGAGATAACTGGGAAGAAATGGCCTATGATAATCAGAGATAGAGCAGATATATATTTATGATAATAGCGAAGAACTAATAGCCATGATACATGACCTGATAATATTACTATTTAAAATTTATTTATCCCTACGTATACGTGGACAATACTACTCAACATGAGATTTTAAACAAATCTAGGTATCTCTTGTTTCAATACATGTAAAGTTGACTTTATTGTACTAAAATTAGTAACTTTTTTTTAGTTTTTAGTTTTAAAAAAAACCTCATAAAAATTTAAAAACGGGTTTACATCATCGTAATGTTGGACACTGTTCTATTATTTTAAAATTTAAGTATCGAATAGCAAATAAATTTGTATCCGTTATTCGATAAATTTTTTATAGATAAGTTAGTCGTTATACATTATTTATATATCTATCATTCCATATTTAAATTAAATAACTGATTTCAATTTTTGAAAAATAAAACTGAATATTTGAAAATTTCAATTGTTTTCTCATCGAAAAAAATGACACGCCCTAGCATATATAGCGTATTCGTACAGTTTATTAGTCTGTGAAAAAATAACAACATAATATGAAAATAAGTAAATACAATGCTTTATGAGATGAAGGCAATAATTTTATTTTCCTCCGTCGTATTATAATGGTACATATTTAAAATAATAAATCAAAACATGTATAAATTAGAATTAGTCCAGTCAATGGATGCTCGGAAAAGGGGTAAAGAAGGAAATGGCAGTGACACAATTTTTGACTTTAAGACAATATTTCGACTAGTAAGGAGGTAAACATACTAAAAGTCCCCACTCCTAGGTGATGAGCCAGATGTGGGGGAAGAGGGAGGGGTAGCGCCTAGTAGTTTTTTCGGGTTTTGGCTTATATCAGGGAAATGATTTATCGCATCGACAAAGACAGTCTACCCAAAATTAAAGCTCATAAAATTTGCAGTATGATTGATGAAATACATTTTTTCGCTATCTCGCATAGTTTCCGAGATATCTGTCCTCAGCTATCGCTAATGTGGAAAAACAAATTTTTAACCTCATGTTTTTTACTGTATTTAACTAGCCAACTCTTGATAGCTTCGTTTTACGATTAAGTCATGCGGAAGAAAGTTTTTATTAATTCAATTTTCTTCAAGAATATATTATTTTACTAGTTTACCTTCAAGTCTCCCTCTCCCTCCTCCCCACATCTATCTCACCACCTAGGAGTGGGGAATTTTAGTATGTTTACCTCCTTACTAGTCCAAAGAATTTCAAAAATTGTGTCCCCGGCATTTCCTTCTATAATCATTCATTGACTAGACTCAATAGGGTGTTTGTTAATAATGGTCCAATTTGATGATTTTTTTTTCGTTTCGTATGGAATTCAGGAACCTTCCAAATTATCTTGAGTAAAACCGTTTTCCATGGAAACGAATTTTTTATAATAAAAATGAAATGTTGCAGTTGTTAATTATAAAGAAACCTGAATTGCTTAATCGAGCTCTCGTAAAGAATATAAACCGAAAATAAAATTTTAAAAATCTTATCAGATCAATATTAGCTAAGATACTGCAAAAAATATTGTGTCAGATTTTCATCAAAAGCTGTTGGTCGTGTAAGTTTCCAAACCAAAAATAGTCTGTTTTTTTGTGTTTTTTTTACGGGGACATTCCTTATTTCGAGAGTCGATTTTGACGATTTGTTTTTTCTTTTTGTGGTGAACTCAGGAATCCTTCTAATTATCATGGGTATAATCAACCACTGGATAATTTTTGAGCTAAGCGTAATAAATTTTCCTTTACTTCGTACCTTTTTTCCTGACTTTTATGAGGAATTTGTTTATATTTCTCGACTGAAGAAGAAGATGATCTTCAAAATGATAGCTTAATCATTGAATTTGATCAAAAATTAACGTTGAATACGGCATAACACACACAAAAAATACCTTAAGGGAATATAGATTCCGTTATTCGTTAGTTAAAATTAATTTTGTTAAAATAAGTACTGCATTATATCGATGCATGAAAGCAAGTATAAACAAAAAATAATTTGTATAGGATTACGTAATCATGTTAAAGTATAAGTTTTATTCATTAATCCTGATTGTTAAAAAATGTATTCATTGTTAATGTGGTGATAAAGTTTTGTATATATTTTAATAATATTGTTATTAATGTTACAGATATCATTCTAAGACTTGGAAATGGGCGAAGTGGTCCGATACGTTGGTTGCAAAAATGAGAAATAATTGAAATAAAGTTTTGTTAAGTATAAAAGGTTTGTTAAAAGTGTTCTTCGAAATAATAAAATTATATTGAGATTAGTTTCAAAACGTCCATTCTTAGCTCTTTCACTCTCCACTGGATTCCAATTTCAATGACGCAGGTAGGACAGAAACACAGAGATCTCTATGAGTTCACTGCTTTGCCTTCCGTAAGTGGAGGATAAAGCTGCTTGGCACGGAGTCTTCTTGACGAATGCAGATATTTATTACACATACGAGGTACGAATGGATTTTATTTTTACTCAACTTAAAATCTATTATTTTATTTATTTGTTTTGTTATTTTTTTACATTATTTATATTAATTTCTTTTTCGTATGAATATATTGTATGAATAGAGACTTGTTGTACTAATACTTGATGTCCTTATATGTTGTAGGTTGTATTATTATTCAATAAGCTTATTTAACAAAAAAAAAAATTCTTAATAGAATTTATCATGGGAGAGAATTCATTATTTTTACTAAATTTAAGAAAGATTTATTGAAATTTAAAAAAAAATATTGTTTTTACAAGATACCTAACCATGGTAACTCTGTTTAAGAACTTCCTGACAATTATTTTTAATTATTATTTTCTTCTCTTATTTGTCTTCATTTTTTATATATTCTGTAAATTTAGTTAAAATGTACCTATATGAACGACCTTATTATCTATACATATGTAGTTTGTATTGCAAACAGCTATATTGAGCAAGTATATAATACATAGATAGATAAAACTATTGAAATTATAAAGTTTAAAAGCTAATGTTAACTCTTTCTTTATTGATATTCATTAATTTTCGGCTTATCTGGAATTCATAATACATAATGTAATCTAATAAATTAATGCCCTTCTCAAATATTCTGCTCTTTATATATAATTATATCTGACTGTAATCACGTAACATCCAAAAGAAAAGTAAACAAAAGTACTCTAGAACTAACCAATAAATGCGATTTTATCAGCTGTTCATTATGTATGGGAGCCATTTTTCAAGCTTTCGCGTGACTAAAATCATAAATTTTTTCACTTAAATTAAATTCTCCCTCGTGTGGAAGTTACTCTTGACACCGTCGACTGTACAATATGTTTCATCGAAAGGTTAGAAACAAACAACGTCCTGCAACTTCATTTATGATGGTAGTAATAAAATATGATAGTAATAATTATTTTTTACTTAATATATTTAGTTATTTTTTAAATAACAAGGTTAACATGTATTTAAAATGAAAGGATAGAGTGGAAATAGGTGATAAGTAATAGATAAAAGTACTAATATAGGTGGATCGGGCCTGAATAGCAAGGAGCTATGTAGAGATCTAAATTTGAAAAGAACTTATTATTTAAAAAATAGAAAACAAATTTTGTGTTCATTAGTCCATATTTGTTACTGTGAGTGATCTAAGCTAAATACTTAAACAGTAAAATTCTGTTCTAGTTTTTAAATTAAAGTGCATATAAGGTGAAGGCACAAGTTATGGTCAGGGGCCCATTGATGGACATGTTAGACTTTAAATGTAAATAATAAGCTTCCTTGTTGATTTAAATGTTCTAGTTTTTCTAGATTGAAGAACAATGCCCTCTATTGACAACTGCATGAACAAAGTTTCCAAAAGAAAATTTTAAAATGCCTATCATTGTTGTTTCTATAGTGATCTTGAGATCAGTGTGTTTCATACCTTCCTACAAACAGTTTTACTAAGATTAAGTTGAACATTTATCTTATCTTATCTTTATTATTAAATGAAGATTATAGAATTTTCCTGAAGTATGTCCTTTACTGGTTCCTACCCCCTGTCAATTACTACAAAAATTGACTTCGGGGTGTTTATCACTAGTGCAAAAATATATTTTGTTTTTAAATGGAGATTTCGCCTGCATAGCTGAATATTTTTTTCAATTTTAAAGAGTTAAATAGACCAAGGAGGCCCTAGAGATTCTAAATATCCTACAGAGAAGTTTATAACTGTAATAATTACGGCGGCATAAGCCAAAAAATACAAAAATGTCCTTAGCTATGTCCACCACTGCTGCGCTTACCCTAAAGCTACTAAATATAACTATGTTTTATGAAAAAAAAATTATATACATTATTTAAAAGTATTATTGTTCTTTTAATTACATTTTTTTTAAATATGGCTTCAAGAATCAGTTCATATGAGTGGATAGTTTCTTTCTTTTTCTTTCAAAGTAAATATCGTTATATATATATATATATATATATATATATATATATATATATATATATATATATATATATATAAACTTTCGAGCTGAAGCCCCAAAAAATGAAATCCGGTACTGATCCTATGTGTATCTAAATCTTAATATACTCCTGCCACTAGCGGATCCAGGATTTAATTTTGGAGGGCTTCAGCCCGAAAGATTTTTTTTTTTCAAATACATATAACGATAATTAATTTGAAAAAAAAAAGAAAGAAATTAACTATCTTTATTAAATGGTTTTAAAGTGGTTCCTAAAGTCCTATTAAAGTAATTACAGGAACAAGAATACTTTAAGAGATAATTTTAATATTTTTTTTCTGTAAAACTGGTTATATTTTACCATTTTGGGGGGCTTCAGCCCGAAAGCCTCCCCTTCCCCCCGTAGGTCCGCCTGTGACTAGTTCTTTATAGTTCTTTCCCGTACCAGAGGAAGAAAAATCAGTCGGAAAGGATTCTTGAATGAGATAATACCTTGGTGAAAATTTGGCTTGACTTTAAAGAAAATACCCTGACACAAAACTCTGCCAAACGCTAGAGCGGCATCTAGAAATACGCCAGTTGCATATTAATTTTTTAACTAATGCCATGGATACGTAGTCCGATTTTACAGGAATACAGAATCAAATATTTTAAGAAAAAAATCATAAACCGCAATGAACTTATAGACATACTCAATGGCAAAGATTGGAGCAGTTTATATATGTATCATATATACGCTTATAAATATAGGATGTTTTTAATTCAGCAATACAACATATAATATTCTGTAGTTATATATAAACAAAAGCAAGAATAAGATTAAGGTTATGCCACAAAAATTATTTATTTCTTATTTTTTTGAAAATTAAAGTTTATTTAAATTATATGTATCAGGTAGTTTTAAATAACAAAAGGCTGTTTAATCTTTCCAAAGTTAATTGTTTTTATTTATTTTATTATTATTAATTCTTTTCATTGTATCTATTTTTAGGGCGACTCCAGGCAGACGGTTCTATACCACTGCCAATAAAAAAAAAAGCTTTGTTTTAAAAAAAGGAATATGTAAAATTTATTTGAAATAAAGCTCTCTTTAAAAAAAAAAAAATCAGTTTCTATGAGTGGATAGTTTCTTCCTTTTTCTTCCGAAGTAAATATCGTTATATATACTTTCGCGCTGAATTCCATAAAAAATAAAATCCGCCACTGATCGTATGTTCATCTAAACCGTATTCCTGCTGAGATATACCCTATAGAAGATAGTTCTTTCAGAGTCAGAAAAATCTGTCGCAAAGAATTGTTGAATGAGAAAATAGGTAAGTGCAAATTTTGTCTTGACTTTAAAGAAAATACACTGTTACAAAACTCTGTCAAACGCTTGAGCAGTATCTAGAAATACGCAAGTTGCATATAATTTTTGCTCTAATGGCATGGACAGGTTGTTCGTCAATCTATCTATCTACGTGATATATAATTGAGTAATGTGTCCCAAATCAAAATGGATAGTCTGATATCATTTGTCTGTTTGTTAGTTTATCAAAAGGACTTTTGTACACTATAGGGTTTCGAAAAGTTTTTAACAGATAGGAAGTAAGCTGATTGGTAGGTATGATGAAGGTACGTTTTAGTCCTTGTTAGGTATGTGAATTATTGTAATATGTGAGCATTTCCAAACTAATCTCAAAACAAAATGTTTTTATTTTAATGTTAGATATTTTGTATATTTCATTTATGGGTAAAATATATTTTTTTCTTTTTCACCGTAGGGTGTGAGAGAAGAACGTTTTACAATTTCACAGTTGGCATTACGTCAAGATGAAAAGTCAAATCCGAAAAAAAAGTTAATAAATTGTTTAAGAAAGTATTGTGACGCTACGACATTGCATGGCTTTAAATATTTATCTGAGCCCAACCGGCCCTTATATGAAAGGTAAAAGCATTAATAGTTGATATATCATATCAGTATTGAAGATATTATGAACTTTCCTTTATGAATGGCTATGAAAGATGATTTTTTATATCTAATATTATTTATTTTTTATATATTTTTTATTTATAAGTGTGATCTGCTTTAGAGATAGCTAAAAAAGCAAGTTGCTAAAGTTTAATTAAATATACAATCTCTGATGTTGTTAAGGTGGTAAAACTTGGCAGGCTATATCACTTTAACAACATCTGTTTCCTTTAATAAGGATTACAGTTCGTTGTTTATTCGCCTTGCGTTCTCTCTTGGTGGGTCATATAAATATTTCTTTCGAATATAGAACGATTTCACTAATCACTTTAAGAAAAGATTCATGTTCCCGATCCATATGTATGTATAGGCCAGATGAGTGTCTTGTTTTGATAGTTTTGGAAAGTAAACTGCTTCCAAACTGTTGACGAAGTCCAAAATAGTATCTATTAGCAGATGCTATTTTTCTTCTTATTTCAGCCGAAATATCATTATTTTCGTTTACTTGGTAGTCCAGATATATTAATTCCCTTATACGTGTAGGACCCAAATTATTCCGTAGCTTCATTAGGAGGCTTCATTTCGTTAACGACCATGTATTTAGTGTAGTAGATATCCTCCAGTATTTAATATGTGACATTGTGTGAGGGAACGAGAAGGAATATATAGGAATATGAGGTTGCACTATGAATTGTACTCATTTGTGCAGTGGACAAATGGTTCATTTAAAGTCTCGTATCGATAAACAATCAAAGAAGAAGAAAGAAGCTTGAAAAAGGACCGTGCAGGTAGCAGCAGCTTGAGAAGTACGTCAAAGAGAGAAGAAGGTACTTGAGGCTGGGACATGAAGGCGAAACTATGTTATCTGAGAAAAGAAGCCTAACGAAATTTCCAGCGTCAGGGATCTTTATGTTTGGACGGGCAAATAAAGGCCAAGAGAAGTATATCAGAACTTACCAATAGAGACAGTAGCTGAGCAACCAGCAACACATGTAAGACTTAGATCGATCCCGATGTTCGTTCTAACAAAAAAACAATCAGTTGTTCGTACATTCTGGATATGCGATAGAGGGCGTTTTAGGAAAAAACGGAGAGGCCCCGTAAAAATAGAAAAATATATATATTTTTTTCAGTGGTCCATATTTGTTTCTTTTGATGACACTGAAGACTAAGAATATCAAGCCTATAATTATAACACTTTAATAGAGTCAATTTATTACAGTTGTGGAAATAAATTATTTTGTTACACAGGAGTGAATAGTCATTTTATTTAGTATTCCTATATACCTCACGATTGAAGAATAACAACCCAGGTGAGTCGATTCATTCAAAGTGTCTACTCAGTCCCAAATTTGATTTATATATATTCTTATTATTTCTTGTCACTCAGTGTCACAAAAAGCATTAGGTCCCCGAATTTCCAATGACAGTTAAACACTCCCAAAAAGTCTATATCCAGTGCTGAGGTTTTGTTTTAAGAAAAATTAAATTCACGAGCGTAAATAACCTAGTCCTCTGATCAAGAGGAAGGAATATTTACATTTGACTCTTAACAGATTATTTACATTAGTCTTCTGATAGCTCACGACAAGACCCATTTTTTTGGCAGATGATTCAAGGGTAAGGAAGGAATATTTTACAGCCATTCTCGATGTTCCAATGATGTCTACATTATCTGCGTAGCCAAGGATTTGAATTGTGCGATTGAAGATGGTTCCCCTTGTCTGAATTCCTGTCTCTCTGACCGCTTTTTCCAAACATAAGTTAAACAATAGGCAAGCAAGAGAGTCTCCTTGTCGGACTCCGTTAATGGATGTGAACATTTTCTTGAGAGAGATCGCGTTGAATACACACTACATTTTCAATTTTTTTCCATAGTCAGTTTTACCAGGCGTATAAGTTTAAAATTATAAAATTAAAATAATAACAAAAACAGTGTATACAACAAGGGCTAAATCAAATTTAACATAAACAAATAAAATAAAAATGTTCAATGAATGATGTAAAAATTTCCAATATTGTTCGAAGTAAACCAATAAAGCAAAACAATACGTTTTGAAAGATCAGTCTTTATCCTAATGGCTTTATTTAATTATTGTATATTAATTTATTATTTACATGTAAATACTCAATGTGTGAGTTTGTGTGATGAAGAGACGTGGCAGCTCTCGTCTCAAACAGTGACTATTGCTACCGACATAGAGTTGACTTCACACCATAAATCTTCTGAAATAATATGTAGTATGACTAAAACGGAACTGTGAAATACGACCTCAAAGTAGTATTTTTAAGTCAAACGGTGCGTGTACGGCAACATTAAAATAAAATATAGACACCCCTGTTGATGATATCGAACATTTTTCGTAAATGGAAGTTTTGGTTTTATCGGTTTCTTTACTGCTGATTTCATAGGTTGTTTTTTATAAAATAACTCCACTCTTACAAAAATATAGAAAAACAAAATTAAAATAATAAATACAGAAATGTAAAAAGAAGAATTTACATTTCGCCATAAACAAAAAAAGAAAAAAATTGTATTACAAATTTAAAATATTAAAAAAAAAAACGCTGCAAATTATTACACAACGGTTTATTATTTTCAAACAATTTAACATCAAAATTATCATTACTTTCCATGTAACATTAAGGATAATAAATAAAAAGGGGTTCCTAACATTGGCCAATACAATTTTCTATTTTATCATTGATAGTTTACTTTAAAAATAGGCAAAATTACTAGGTTTGATGTAAAACTTTCAAAAAATCAAAAACAAAAATATAAGCTTTGCAGTAAAACATATAAAACATATTTAGAACACCATATCTTTGCTCCAAATTGTCCAATTTCAACTATATTTTATTTGTTTTTTAGTAAAACTGTAAACTTTTTAATAACCATACACAACATTAACAAAGAAATGTATTATTCTTGAGTTATTCGAAAATCTATTTTTACCATCCCTCGTAACTTTTTTTTCAGCTTCTTTGCGATGAGTTTAATTAAAATTGGTACATAGGCACTACAGTCTATACCAACACAGGTTTTTCGGCCGCCATCTTGTATTATTATTCTTATCTTGTAAGAAAAGAGCGGATAGTAATGTCGAGATAGGAGGATCATCCTCGGGTAAACTCTGACTTTGATTCCAAATTTGAAAAAAAAAAAAAAAAAAAGGTCTGGTGGAAGGCAAACGGCAGATGACAACAAAAAATTTTATTCGATTTTCGAATTTTACGTATCGTGAAACTTTAAACCTCAAATTTTGAGGGGAGGGGTTAAATTGAACCAATATTTCTCAAGGAAAGTATTTTACACAAAGTAATCTCATTTTTATTTAGCATTCAGTGAGGCGTCTTTCCTTGTATACCTTTTTTTTGGGGGAGGAGGGAGGGAGGGAAAGTAAAATGTCGGTATCGTCAGTTAATTTTTTCATTCCTCATATAACGATAAATCGACAAAGCAACGAAAAATATCGATATTTTCCAACATATCTAATAGTTCATGGGTCCAGCCTTCTCAGCTCTGAAATCAATACTATTTATCCATAAAAACAACTTATTCTTACTACGAGAAATGAAGTTACTTTTTGAAAATGCAAGGAAAAGAAACGCATAAATAAAATTTTAATTATTCGTTATCTTAGTAACATATTGAAAATAATTTAGTTCTTATACTTTTTTTCGTTTCTTCTTCTTCGAAATATAATAAGCCTGAATACTTTTTGAGACCAATTGAATACCTAACCGATAAAATATTGATAACTTTAGGCTTATCTATATGACTGCTAATCCCAAATAGATTCCATATCTACAAGTGACAGTCATGATTCTCTTTTGCCCGATCATCGATTACAAGAGCAATTAAACCTGATCGAACAACTTATATCGTATACTGGATACTATTATTCTGCAATAGTTCAAACTTATTTCCATGTAACTGAGGGAAAAATATATAACAATATGTTGTCTTATTTGTTTAATGTAACAGTGAAAAATAGTTGTCAACAAACTAACAACTGATGTGATCATCATACGAAATTCAGAAATTATAAAAAAAAAATATACTTTATTTTTGTCATAAGTATAATTGAGTATAACAACACTTTAAATATTAATTAATTAAGTTATATGTTAAATAATATCTATTTACACTTAATTTTATGCCTGACAGGTCAGAATAATAAAAATCAAAATTAACTCCTGATAATTATTTATTGTACATTTCGGGGAATCTGTGCCCCCTCCTTAGCAATCTAAAAAATATATATTGGTATAGCACTTTTACTTTCACTTATCTATATATGCGATATATCGTGAAAATTTTCGAATCTGATTTTTCAACGAAAATACACGTTTTGATGTCATCTGAGTCTAAATAACCGAAGCCCACAAAATGGTCTGTGTGTGTGTATGTATGTATGTGGTCAGTCTAGCTCAAAGAGGAAAAGTCGTACAAAACTGATATTACGTATTTAAGATAGGTATATGCCTTGGATGTGACAGCAACTTTTTCGTAAAAATCGGTAAACCGTAAATGGTACTTTATATTATCGATGAAACAATTTTTTACTATTTTCTCAAAAACTGCTCCAACAATTTTGATTAAACCCTGTGTATCATTGCATAATTAAGTGGCCTATAATATTATTGAGGTCTTATCCCCATTGGTGTCACTTTACTGAGCTTTAATGTTTAAATATTCAACATGTCTTCCTCTAACCTACATTTAATTTAGTTTATTAATTAAGTTAATTAAATAATTAACTATATCTCATTATTAAGAGATACGAAAAAATTCTAAATAGAATTTTCGAAAGAATTTGCTAATCGGAAAATAGAGAAAAAAGGGAAAATGTTTATTTAGGTCAAAATTTCTTATTTAGGGAAAATGAATTTCTGAAAATACTAGTCAGAAGGTATACGTATAATATATCGTTGGAAAGCGAAGCATTTTAGAAAAAACAATATCTGATATA